CCGTGTACTCGGAGCATGGTCTAGAAAAAGAAGCACCAGGCGTCAGATTTGCAAAAACAGGCGGCATGCAAATTCATTCAACATTACAAAAATGCTAAGTATACCTCGGAGAGGAGACCCATGATCCCGTCAATGTCAAGGGTGTCGACTCCCTTAACTGCATCCCTCTCCTCTAAAGGGATGGCCTTTATCATAGACTTGGCCATTTGGGCCAAGTCTGGTTCTTGGTGACTGCTTGCATTCAGAAGTGAAAACATCAAAACATGAAGAGAGTATTGAAGAAAAGGTTAAGACAAGTCTAGCAGAGCTAGATTGTACCTCTTGGAGACCGATTGTCCCTTGGGACTTGTACTTCTTTCTCCCCACTCTTGGGGGTTCGCGGCTGTTTCTCAGCCGCCTGTTTCCTGGAGGAGCCAGGCGTACTCCCAATGGCCAGTTTGCGCGCTTTCGCGTCCGGCTGCTGGGAGGAAGAGGGTTTGGACGAGCCCACCTACAAAATCATGGAAGATTAATACTGGCAAAAAGGGGAGTTCAAAGAGAAACTCGAAGGATCAGAAACTCACTTTGGGCGTTTCCTTGGCAGGAGAGTCAACAGAAGTTCGCCTCTAGCTCATGATTGAGGCTCGCAGCAAAGCGACCGCCTTCTTGGAAGCAGAAATTTGGTCCATAGCTTCGGCTGAAAGAAAACACCACAAAAAGTGAGAAAAATGCAAAAATAAATCAAGTAATACATGTAGAGGCACAAGAGGCCGGCTACCTCTGGAGGTCCGACTGTTAAGGTCACAAGCGGCCAAAAAGTACTCATCATATAGCCACTGGAATTTGGGAACACAGTTTAAAGGCACCTGCTCCCGTACCCCAGTAGTAGAGTTTTCTCTTATCTCTACTTTGAAGAGTCCTTGGTCAAGGATCTCCTCCTTGGCTCGGCGAGGAACAGGCGGCATACTACGGCCGCCTGAAAGAAGAAGCGGATCTCTGTTCCACTTGTTATATCATTTGTTTAGGAGTTTATCAGGACTAGAGACTAGGAGGAAGGTGTTTCTCCAATCCTTCCACTTATTCTCCTTCCCCCTAGTCATCAGATAGCCTTTGTGGCTCGTTATCTGGTACCAGCCGGTACCGCTTGCCTTGGGGGTCCGACTTAAATAGTTCATATGGGCGAATGCCTCAAAATTCGGCTCCACCCCATGCATTTCACATCCGGCTACATAGCCAAGGATGTTAAACCAGGAGTTAGGGGCTAATTTCCATAGCCCCACCTCGTACCCATCGAGGATTTGTCGAACGGTCGGATGCAAGGGAAATCGAAGGCCGGCCTTAATGGCCGCCTCGTAGCAGCCAAAACAGGCGTCCCCGTAACTAGACCCCTTGGGCCAGACGATTGCATCTTCAGCATGCGACACGAATAATTGAAAATCCGGACCCATCACATGGTCCGACAAAAAAGTCTCTATTCGTCTTTCATGGCCTTGATTCGGCCCTTTGGGACGTGACAGTAATAGGGGGTGTTTAACTCCCTATGAGAGGAAGATGGCTCTGAGTGAGATAGTCTCGCCTCATCTAAGCGAGAGTGCCTCTCTTCCGAACCTGGAGAACGGTGGCTTGAAGAGCTGGCTTCGGACTCACTATCAGAGGAGCCCGACTCCCCTCTCCCTGAGGGGGCCGACCCCTCTTCTTCAGAAGGAGTCGATTGCTGACCAGCTAAGTCAACTGTAAAATGGGAAGGGGCCACCTTGGCCCCCTCCTCAGAGCTCTCGGCAGCAGGACCGCCTCGGGTCCCGGCAGTGTCAGGCATCTGGTCCGATAGCTCGCTAACTTGAACCCGGAATGAAGAGCCATCAGAGTTTTCAATCCTCTTTGTCCTTTTGGTTCTTGCCATACTGTCCTGCATAGATACAAAGACAGTTGGATTCCGGGACTTGCGCAAAGTTTGAAGTACCGCAGGGCACTCGGCACCCCTAGTCCTAGACTCAGTCGTCCTCGTTGACCGGCTGATTGCTAACTTAGGCCGTGCCGGACGCTTTTGAGGCCTCATTTTCAAAAAGAAAGAAAAAATGCAAAAACTAAGTAGAAAAGGATAAAAGAACAGACGGTTACCTAAAACTTAAGTTCTGAAAGGGAGCTTGATCGAACAGGCGTCTAAAAAAGCAGGCGGTTGGTAAAATCAGTCGTCCAGAAAATCAGAGCTCAAGTTTAGGGGTCCGAGAGTTCTCTTGCGAAGTTCGCAAAATGTGAACAAAAGACTTGGTCAACATACCCTTATATAGGGTAAAAGGAGAATACGAAGGGTCACTTCTGAATTCAAAAAATGAGCGGGAAAAACCTCTCGGCCAACCACAGGACGACACCTGTAGCAGTCCGTCGCCTGTTACAGGCCGCCACCTGTCACAGGTGACATGCGACCAGTCACGTGCCACCTGTGAGGGGCAAATGATTAGGGGATTTTTCCCCGCCCAGTCAATGTACGCCACGTGGACCAATCAGGACCTGCCAAGTGTCCCCCATTTGGACTTATTAGGGCCTGCCATGTGGCACACGGCTATTTGTCCACCATGGACCAGTCATGCTACGCCATGTGGCCTACTGATGGCCAACGTGGAGGGAGGCCACCTAGGCCCACTTCCCAAGAAAAGCCCAATCAGCCCTGGGTTGACCTAAACCTAGGGTTGACACGTATTCCAAGGCTATAAATATATTAATTAATCCTCATTAAAGGGGATTCAGCAATTAATTACTCTCACCTAGAGAAGCCTAAACACACTGATCACTCCTCTCCTTGAGGAACCAGATCTCCCATCTTTACTTTTCCGCACTTATTTACTCCCCAAAAAAGTACTAATTTGATCGTCGGAGGCGGAGCTCCCGGCACCCGGAGTCTTCGTTGTTTTGCAGGTACAGACACAAGGATACCAGTCCCGGAATTGTAACTCTCCCACAGGACACCGGAAAACCCCGAAACACTTTGAACTTCCAATTCAAATTGCTTTGTTCGAGGATCAAGATGAACTAATGATAACTCATTCTAGCTAATTTCTTTTTCCAAATGTTTGTTTTCTCCCCCTAATGTTGGAAAAACTAACTCATTAAAATGTTAATCAGCAAATCGAGCAATAAAAAGATCTCCTGTGGTAGGCTCAAGATATTTAATTATAGATTGATTCAAATCCAACATTTATTCCTAACCTCCTTTTTAAGGACCCATCTTAGAGCGTTGGGGTGGAGCTATTGGAACATAAACTGCACATCCAAAAATTCTCAAGTGGGAGATATTTGGTTCCTGACCAAAAACCAATTGTGATGGGGAGAATTTATGATAACTTGTTGTCCTGATGCGAATTAGTGATGATGCATGTAATATAATATAGCATGTCCCCAAGTAGAAATTGGGAGTTTAGATTTCATAAGTACCGGTCTAGCAATTAACTGGAGGCGTTTAATTAATGATTCTGCCAAACCGTTTTATGTATGAACATGTGCTACAGGATGTTCAACATTTATCCTCATGGACATGTAATAATGATCAAAATCTTGAGAAGTAAACTCACCAGCATTGTCAAGACGAATAATCTTGATAGGAGAATTTGGAAAATGTGCTCTTAATTTAATCAACTGAGCTAGTAATCTCGCAAATGCCATGTTACGAGTTGATAACAAAGATACATGTGACCATCTAGTCGATGCATCGATCAATACCATAAAATATCTAAATGGTCCACATGGGGGTGTATGGGCCCACATATATCCCCCTGTGTACGTTCCAGAAAATTAATATAATTTATCGTAACTGGTGATGGATGAATTATCAACTTGCCTTCTGAGCAAGCAACATATGAAAAATTATTATGAAGAATCTGCTAGCTCTTCAATGAATGACCACAAAAATTCTCAATTATTTTTCGCATCATTATTGAACCGGGATGGCCTAACCGGTCATGCCAACCAACGAAGTCATCAGTAAACTTCTGGTTCACAATAGTGTGTGTCTCAATTGCATTGATCTTAATGTAGTACAAACCTGTAGAAAATGCAAGCAATTTCTCTAAGGTACATTTTGTGCCTTGGTTTATATTAGTGATTTGAAGGAATTCATCGTTTCCTTCACTAATTATCTCAATATGATAACCATTATTACGAATATCTTTAAAGCTTAGCAAGTTTCTTTGAGACTATGAGGAGTATAATGCATTAATTATTTCAATTTTTGTTCCCCAAGGCAATATTAGCTCTTTCGGAACCTTCAATTATATTTGTACTACCCGATATAGTACTCACACTAACCTTTTTTGAAATCAATTAATAGAAATAATTCTTATTTTTAAGTATAGTATGAGTAGTTGCACTATCAGCAAGACACAATTCTTCATCATTTATTGCCAATTGAACTTGAGGAGTATTCATACTATATATTCAAAGAAACAAAATATGTCACAAAAACTAAACATGTCCAAAATAATAATAATAATAATAAAATATGTCAACAAAATGAAATAAAACATCTAAAATATTACAATATCTCATGAAACATATAAAAATATATTACAATCATAAACCATAAAATATATACATTACCAACATAATTAAAAATTAGAGTTCTATAGCTAAAATCAAACAATATAACCAATACATCATTAATTATTTATTTTGGGGGTAGTGAGAAAATCAACAACTTCAATATGAGTTGCATCGCTATAATCAAAGTCACCTTCGCCATCTTCAAGTACAAGATTTGTCTCAACCTTCTTTCCTAGCTTTAGTGATTCTTGATAAAGCTCAACAACGTGTTTTGGTGTTCGACACACACGAGACCAATGGCCTTTTACTCCACAACGATAACAAATATTAGGCTCATGTTTGTCTTTCTCAACTTTATCATTTTTGCGTTCCCACTTCCGGTGGGAATGTGAGCTCTTAGAGCACGACCTCCACCATATCCACGTCCTCGACCACGGCTGGGCCACTGACCGCGACCTCGACCTCGACCACTACTACTAGAATGGTCTCTATTTTTTTGTTTCTTTCCCATCATGAGAAATCACATTCGCTTCAGGGAATGGAGTAGAGCCAGTAGGACGAGATTCATGATTTTTCATCAACAACTCGTTATTTTGTTTAGCCACAAGCAAAAAAAATATCAATTCAAAATATTTCTTAAAACCTTTCTCTCGATATTGTGTCTGCAGGACAATATTATTTGCATGGAAAGTGGAGTATGTTTTTTCTAATATCTCTGCATCAATAATCTTCTCTCCACATAATTTCAATTGAGAAGTTATTCTGAACATGGCTGAATTATATTCACTAACAGATTTAAAATCTTGCAATCGCAAGTTTAACCAATCATAACGAGCTTTAGGAAGTATAATAGTTTTTTGGTGGTCATATCTTTCCTTTAGACTATTCCAAAGGGTTTCTAGGTCTTTAACAGTGAGATATTCATTTTTTAGACCTTTATGGAGGTGATGACGAAGAAATATCATGGCGATTGTTTCACCAAGTCCTTTAGAATCTAGGTGTATTTCAGCATCTAACACCCATGATAAATAATTCTTTCCGGTAATATCAAGGGCCACAAATTCAAATTTGACAAGGTTCGACATTATTCACTATACAAGATAAGTAATATTTAAATCAGAACTTATAATACTACGACTATACTTCCCTTAATCATCAAATAAAATAAACATAACCACTAGTAATTCGTCATATGCATAACAATAAAGATAAAGTCTATCATCAAGAAATTCCTACGGGATATATAACATGAATTTAAATGAAAGTGCATTTAACATGAAAAACAACAAAATACAATGCTATAATATAAAGACAATGAATACCAACTATCCATCAAAGTCGTGGTAAACATCATTATGGTAATTATTAACAAAAGTCCATACAAAAATAAACATGTATGCATAATAAAATTAATCATATATATCCACAGAAATGAATAGCGGCAAAACATGGTTGCGATATGCCAACAAACAGTTTATAAGAATTCATGCAATTGCGATAAGTAACAAAAACGCAAATATAATCCTTTACATTTTTATTTTTTATATTTTTTTTTTATTTTTGAAACCTAATCCTTTACATTTATCATAATTAAACTAATTTATCATTATATAAACAAACTAATCCTCCAAAATTAATTCATAAAAGAAAATATATTTACACGGAGTACTTTGATAAAATAATCAAAAACTAAAAAGTAAATAAACTTACATAATAATTGCAATGATTTTAATTCTCTTTGATACTTTTTCTTTTTAAATGCAATTCTCTTGCAAGTTATTTTTGATTTCCAATGATAATGATATATCTTAGCAATGGTACTGATAACGTATTATGAAAATAAAGAGAATGAATGAAAAATAGAGGGAAGGGAGAGAGAATGTAGAATATTATAAAACTGTATTATCATTAATAATCCAATAAAGTAATATATATATATATAGAGAGAGAGAGAGGAAGGCTCATGTAAGAACCCTCCTCTATATAAGAACCCAATCTTATATAAGAATCAATCTCAGCCGTTTATTAGTTATGATTCAACCATCTAAAATGATCCTTTAGTAATGACATTTCTGTAATTCTTCTTTTATGTTCTAAATTTTTTTGCCTACTCCTATGTTCTAATTTTTTTTTTCTTATGCTCTAAATTTAGTCTACTTATGTTCTAAAGCTTTATTTCTTATGTTCTAAATTTTTTCTACCTATGTTCTAAAGTTTTTTTTTTCTATGTTCTAAATATTCTTTTACCTTTTGCCTATGTTTTAAATTCAGTCTACTTATGTTCTAAAGTTTTTTTTTTCCTATGTTCTAAATTTTTACTACCTATGTTCTAAAGTTTTTTTTTTCCTATGTTCTAAATATTCTTTTACCTATGTTCTAAATTTTTTTTTTCCTATGTTCTAAATTTAGTCTACTTATGTTCTAAAGTTTTTTTTTTTTCCAATGTTCTAAATTTAGTCTACTTATGTTCTAAAGTTTTTTTTTTTTTCTTATGTTCTAAATTTAGTCTACTTATTTTCTGCTCATATAACTTAGTGCTAATTTAATTAGTTTTATTGGTTTTTTTTTTCAAAAAAAAACATTTGAAGTTTTTTAGTTATTTATAAAGATAACCTATGTAGAAATTGAACCTACATCCTCTATGCATTTGCATAGTGCTCTTCCAATTGAGATAATAGGTTTTATCATATGTTCTAAATATTATTTGCATATGTTCTAAAATTTATTGCTTAAGCTCTAAATTTTTCAATCTAAGCTCTAAATATATGTATGTTCTAAACTATTTTCCTATGTTCTACATTTTATTGTTTATGTTCTAAAGTTTTATGTCAATGTTCTAAATATATATCCTATATTCAAATGTTTTTGTCTATGTTCTAAATTTATTTCCTATGTTCTAAATTTTTTCCGTATGCTCTAAATTTTATCCTATGTTCAAAATTTTTTCTACCTATTTTCTAATTTTTTTTTTCCGTACGTTCTAAATTTTTTCTATCTATGTTCTAAATTTTTCACCTTATGTTCTAAATTTTTAGTATATGTTCTAAACTTATTTTCTATGCTCTTATTTTTTTTCCCAATATTCTAAATTTTCAATTTTTTTTTCCTATGATCTAATTTTTTTTCCCAATGTTCTAATTTCCTATGTTCTAAAGTTGTTCATATATTCTACACCTATGTTCTAAAGTTTTTTTTTTTCCTATGTTCTAAAGTTTTTTTTTTCCTATGTTCTAAATTTTTTCTACCTATGTTCTAAAGTTTTTTTTTTGTTTCCATATACCCTCCATTCAGGAGAGACCATTCTGGTACACCATTTTAATGCCGATCAGAGCATGGGCTTAAAAAAGTTTAGAATCTTACAGGTTTAAAATCATACAGTTTTTATTTTTTTTTTCTTTTGTATTCTTATCAACTCGAGACTTGGGATTTCCTTACCTATTTAGATGAATTCAAATTACAATAATACTTCATTACTTAACCATTTAACTAGATATGCATGCTCTTCACTCCCTTTTTAGACAAATAATTCACTATGTTGCTTCAGGTCTCAGCTAAAGACACCCATATGGCAAACATGTTGTTGAACTATGTGCCCGTCTAAAGACAAATAATATATGTATGTTCTAAACTATTTTCCTATGTTCTACATTTTATTGTTTATGTTCTAAATTTTTTTGTCCATATTCTAAATATATATATCCTATCTTAAAATTTTTTGTCTATATTCTAAATTTATTTCCTATGCTCTAAATTTTATCCTATGTTATAAATCTTTTCTACCTATTTTCTAATTTTTTTTTTTCCGTACGTTCTAAATTTTTTGTGGGTGATGGAATACATTGCGTTGATATTAACAAAGCAATCTTATCTTTTAATTCTAAAATAGAGAAAGAATTGAAGACTATTGAGACTCAATTGAACATGAAAACGCTCTTTATTGATGCTTATAAAGTCGTTGACTCCGCAATTAACAACCCAAAGAAATATGGTAAGTCCAACTAAAGTTTAGAAGCTAGCTTAGCTTGTGTTGTACGATTTCCTTTTTAATTTGATAAAAATGTGCTATTCTCTCAAAAAATTATTCTCTCCGTCTCTAAGTTGTATATCACATGTCAATTAGGAATACTATAGTTGAAGAAAAATTAACCATGAGTATTAATCATCGAAATATATGCATGTTGATTCACATGAAAAAAAAAAAAAAAAAAAAACCACTAGTGTAGGATTGTATGTATACTTGTCTCAATGTATGTGTAGATTCAAACAATTACGGTTTTATGAGTTTAATTTAATTATGTACACTTAATTTTGTTTTAAAATACATGACAAATGTATGCAATGAAAATTGTACTAAAAACAAAACATGAACTTAAAAAAAAAAAAAAAAAAAAGAAACGATATACATTGTAACCTAACACAAACACACACAATACTCATATTCTTGGACGAGCAAATTAAAATTCGATATGATTCACTAGACCAAGTTAAGCTTAATTAGTATAAATAAGATATAAAATTAAATTATTAACTTTAAATTTTTTCTATCTATGTTCTAAATTTTATCTTATGTTCTATACTTTTTCACCTTATGTTCTAAATTTTTTCACCCTATGTTCTAAATTACTTTCTTGTGTTCTAAATTTTTAGTATATGTTCTAAACTTATTTTTTATGCTCTTATTTTTTTCCCAATGTTCTAATTTCTTATGTTCTAAATTTTTACTATATTGCAAATCATTTTCTTATGTTCCAAATTTATCCTATGTTCTAAAGTTGTTCATATATTCTACACCTATGTTCTAAAGGATTTTTTTTTCCTATGTTCTAAATATTCTTTTACCTATGTTCTAAATTCTTTTGCCTATGTACTAAATTTAGTCTACTTATGTTCTAAAGCTTTTTTTCCCTATGTTCTAAATTTTTACTACCTATGTTCTAAAGTTTTTTTTTTCCAATGTTCTAAATATTCTTTTACCTATGTTCTAATTTTTTTTTTCCTATGTTCTAAATTTAGTCTACTTATGTTCTAAAGTTTTTTTTTTCCTATGTTCTAAATTTTTCCAACCTATGTTTTAAATTTTTTCTACCTATGTTCTAAAGTTTTTTTTCCAATGTTCTAAATATTCTTTTATTTATGTTCTAACCTTTTTTTCCCTATGTTCTAAACTTTTTCCATATGTTCTAAAAGGGATTTCAACCAATCCAAATTCCATCCATTACAACTAAGATTAATTTTTGGCAACTTTAATCATTTGGAAAATTGGAATGCTTTCAGAAGAAAAAACACAAAAACTAGGACCTAAGTTTGAAGAGTTGACTAGCTTTTAGGATATATAAATTATAAAAGCATAAATTGCCTCCAAAGCTAAGTTATCAATACTGACACCAAACCACCAGCATTCTTGGACACCCTCTAGCACCATCCAACTCATCGCCAAAGCCACCTGATTACATCAACATCCTCTCACATCCCCTACAATACCCCACAGAGCACAACCACCACATTTAGGCCGCGGGACGCCAAGTTTAACCACTGCCACTCTATACCATCAAATGACCTACAAGACCCACTACCTTCACCAAGCACAAATTGACAAACCCCTTCACTCACCCTGCAGAGACTATTGCGCACACCTCCTGCACCCTCTCATACCACTATAGACATCTCATGTATTTGGCAGACAGGACTGCTGAAATCATATGAGCACTAGGACAACAAATGTATTTCCTTTTTCCTCTCCGATTAGGGAACCATATAAGTAGACTCATCGTTTAGGAACATTTGAACCAATTTAACATGTAGTTTACAAAGTACAACTATTACACTGCACTTAATTACAAAAATGTGCCCTTCAAATAGCAAAGCTCACTTGCATTTAGGTATTCACTCAACCTATTTATTCAACCTGAAGAATCCATCTCATAAAACAGACCTTAAGACCACAGAAAGGTCAAAAGCTAAACACCCTTACATCCCTCCTCTACTGCCAGAATTAAGTCAAATTTCATCCCAAAGCCTCCATCTTCACATTTTAATTTCTTTTTCTATTTTCCCCAATCTGATTGACTAGAAACCAATAAAAACTTAAAAACCATCAAACCAGCACCACACATAAGACAGCAAGACCATTGCATTAAACAAAAACGTGCTTCAACACCGAAGATGTAGGACGATAATGGAGAAATAACATCCAAGAAACCTGCCCCTATATCAACCAGGTACAAACCCCAAAATAACCCCAGACCCTCCTTACAATTTTTTTTGTAACTCATCAGCCCACTTTCTATACCTATTCACCTAATCATCAGAACTTACTCAATTGCGTTAAAAAAAAAAACCCAGTAATAATCATCAACCAATGTGCTCAGTTGCTCACTTTTACCAATAAAAAATCCCATCATAACATTACCAAAAATCATAATTTCCACCATCCATCATCCTAACTCCTAGATGTCAACTAGCTTACTGACTGAAGTTAAGAGCACATGATTTCAGCACCAACAAAGAACCAACAGCAATTTAAAAAATGGCTCAAAAATCGCCCAACAAAACCACAAACAAATCGCACAAAAAATGGTAAAATGACGAAAAAAAATCAAACAATAATAATCAAGAGTAACACTGAAATTACCTAATATTTCCAGCCTTAAAATCACTGTAGTTTGAACTCTTAAATCGCCGAATTTTGAACCCTAAATTGCCGAAAATAAATGAAAATCAAATCAGAAAAATGCAAAATCGACTTGTCTCATGCGGAATTCATGAATCAAACTTTAAAATCGCATAAATCACATCGCAAAAATCAAATCATAAAAATCGCAAAAAATAAAATCGAAAAAAACAAAATCGAAAAATCTACTTGAACAAAATCGAAAAAAGAACGTACCTAATTTGAGCAATTTAGGTTGTTTATGTAAAATTTGAACAAAAAATTGCAAGAATTTGTGTTCGAATTTGGGATTTGAGGAGAGAGAAAGACAATAGGTTTGAAAGTTTGAGGAGAGAGAAAATTTTGGACGGTGGGTTAGGTGTTTGAGGAAGGGTACTTGTTTTAATCTTAACCGTCCAAAATTACATAATCCTACGGTTGAGATTGGTTCTTATATAAGTAGGGTTTTTATATAAGGAGGGGTTCTTACCGGATCCCTCCCATATATATATATATATATATATATATATATATATTGGTTACTTAGTGATAATGAACCGACACTATTTTACAACATTGGGTCATATTTTGAAACACAACCCAACACTAACTCCAATGAAAATTCCCAAAGAAAGCCCCATCCTCAAAATGGCTATTTTTATTTTTTTAATTTTTTATTCTTTGTGAAAGGATTGATACGAAATACCAAAAACAAAAAAAAGAAAGAAAGTAAAAGAAAAGAACTCACACGTACTTCAGTACGTGGCACTTCTTAAGACCCCCTGAACGCCACGCGTCATTCAGTAAATCTTACCGACGAACCGTAACTCTGAAACCCAATTAAAAACCCGGATTAAGCCAACCGCTTTGTAAACAATAACAGTAACACTGAAACAGAGAAAAAAAAGAGTGAAAAAAAAAAACCCTGCAAAAATGATGAATTTGATTGCCATAAGTTTGATTGCAACTTCAATTGTAGTTTCTGGATTATTCTCTCCAAACCCACAAAACAATGGCGGTAAAGGCGACCAAGTCATCGTCAAGGGTGGCCACAGAGCGGTTGTTGTTGAGTACGGCGACGACGTCGGTGACGGTAACACTAAGGTTTTAATCAAATCATCCCAAGAACATGCCAAAGACCCGGGCCCGGGCCCGGTTGATGAGCAGATATCCAGGGCTGCGGCATCGGTGGCGGGAGTGGCCCAAGATGTGAAGGGGAAGGCCCATGATGTGGTAACGGGCCAGACCGGGCCGCATGGGGCTCGGCCCAGGGAGCTTATATGTGATGCTTATGGGAAGTGTAAGCATAAGATTGCTGGGGTTTGGGGTAAGACGAAGGAGAAGGCTGCCGAGGCCGAGGAGGTGGTGGAGGAAGTTGTGGAGGATGTGGTGGATAAAGCCAAGGGTTTCGCCTCTAAGGCGGGGCGTAAAGCGGAGGAGACTGCGGAGGGTGTTCGAGATGATGTGAAAGCGAAGGCGAGAAGTGCTGGGGAGACTGCTGAGAGAGTGAGGGATAAAGCAGGGGAGAAAGTGAGGGAAACAGGGGAGAAAATGAGAGAAACAGGGGAAAATGTGAGAGAAAAGGCAGAGAAAGTGAAGGGGAAAACAGAAGAAATGGTGGAAGAAACAGGGGAGAAGATTAAGGAGCAGAGCAAGAAGGGGAAGGAAGAGTTTATCGATATCTCGAAGCGAGGGAAGGAAGTGGTGTTTGATGTAATAAGGTATGTTAATGGAGTTGGGTATGTTCTAGTGAAGGAAACAATGAGTACATTGGTGGGTGTGAGTGAGTTACTAGGGATAGCAACTGCATATGGAATGGCAATTTGGGTGACATTTATAAATAGTCATGTATTAGCAGGAGTTTTGCCAAGACAACAGTTTGGGATGGTTCAAAGTAAGATTTATCCAGTTTATTTTAAGGCAATGGTTGGGAGTATTGGGTTGGCATTGCTAGGACATTTGCTAGGGCATCAGGGTAACATGTTTAAGAATAAGGCTCATATGCTTCAGGCTTATAATCTTATGTCTTCTTTGCTGTTTGTTTTGGGCAATTTGCTGTTCTTGGAGCCTCGTGCTACCAAGGTAACACTTCTTAATCTCACTTGGTCTCTTCGTTTCCATTACATGTCTTAATTGTTTGTAATGTGAATTTGATGTATATGATTTGATTGTGCAGGCGATGTTTGAAAGGATGAAGCTAGATAAAGAGGAAGGGAGGGGAAGAGACCGCGTTAGTACGCCTACAAGAGTGATAGACACTGTGGTAAGTGATTCCGCTGGTGCCACTCCAACCACCACCGCCACGACTACAACCACGATTGGCACGACAAAGACTGCACCATCAAAAACCTCAAGATCTGAACAGGATAAAGCCAAGACCAAGCTTGCAGAACTAAATGACAGACTGAAGAAACTCAACTCATTGTCATCTTTCTTGAATATCATGACTTTAATGGGTCTCACTTGGCATCTTGTTTATCTTAGCCAGCGCCTTCGCGCAAACAGCTGTTGAATTTTCTTTCCTAATGAATGAAGTATGCATAGCTTTAGCTTAAGTTAGTCAAGTAACTTTCTGGTAGCTGTGACTTGGAGGATGTCCATATATATGTGTCATTACTTTGTACTTCGTAGATGGTTTTAATTCAAGGATCAGGAATGTATGATGTTGTTTGATTTATAAACTCTAACAAACTTAATGTAGTAGTTTGTGTAGAATAACACTTGTTCTTGGGATTGTAATGCAGTAAACTTTTCAGGATTGATATTTAAAATTGAAGTGAAAGTACGAATAGCAATCTTACATCCTCTGTTATCAACTGATTATTTCTAAAAATGACAAAAATGAATGAAGCAGTTTATATCAAAAGAGCATCTTATTATAGTATGAAATAAAAGATGTCAGTCTGTACATTTAGCTTCAGATAAGAATCCTAAAAATTGCTAGAAATAAAAAATTGTGCAGTACTCGTATAATGTAAGAAAAATTGTACTTCCAATACTCCTTTTATGTCCGTGAAATTTTTTTTGATCCAAATGCCAGAGAGGATCTTAAACCAACTAAAACCAGACTCCAAACATCTTGCCATCGTGAATGATCCAGTTAGCCATTACCATGTCTCGTCCCAACTTAAACCACACTCCTTAGATGAACAATCTAGTTATTATCAGATAAAATCTCACCCAGTCTGGTTCGAACTTAAATCGGGTAACTATAGCATTATTCCAGAAGCTTGAAGTCCTAACGAACTCTGGTAACGGAGGAGGTCAGCTACATAGGTTAAGTTCTTCTCATTTGATGTGATGCCATACTCAGTTGGAACTTCAAATGCTTACATTTTTCCTGTAAAGGGGTTAAAGAAATCATAAATAACCAAACTCCAGATAAGGTATCAGGTTATCATCCACAACAGCTTCCTAATGGCCATAGGAAAATCCTCTATAAAAGGACAAATATAATACAAGTAATATATTTAGGAAATGGTCAACTTTATGTACATAATATTACGCATTTGCCTTTGATATGCTTTGTAAGCAACAAAGATATCAGAAAATTCTTTAAAAAGGGGCTAAATAAGAGGCAGCAGAATCCAAAGAGAGTCCAGGACGCAATAAGCTCTTATATGAAGTCAATACCAACTAAGTTCTTTGTGGACTAACCTACCGAACGATGGGGACATTAAAAGACCTATTCTAGTCCCTGATCTCAGCTGCTAACCACAGTACTTTCAATCTTGAAGAACAATTACCATTTGAGTTATAGAAAGATTAATTACAAAATCAGCAATAGTAGAAACTGAAGATCCTTTTCACCCAAAAAAAAAAAAAAAAAAGAAACTGAAGAAGCTTAAGTGATAAGAGCTCTTTCTTGGCCTGGGAGCTTGGGAGTCATACTATGAAGTATCATTTTTCCACTGTAAGTATATTAAGAGGGGCAGGGTAGGGTACACCGTACACATAAGCACACATGGCACACATAAGCACTACAATATCAACATTATCCATATGCCTTTAAAGAGGCACGACCTTTTAGCAGGGTAGAGGTTTCAAACGTATGCAGGTTTTGCCTATCGATAACACAAGCTATTCTAATTTGACCCTCAGATTATTACGCAACTACACTTTAATGCTATACTTCTAAACAAACCAGAAATGCAACAGCATAATAACTTTTTAATTTATACCATAAGAAAAATACTCATATTGACTTTGTTATTCCATTCAACTCTTTGATTTAGCATTTTGAGGAGCATGGATAGATTAGGTCCCTATGATCTATGAAGGTCTTGCACAAAAAATTGATGCTACGGAATATATTCAATGCAAAAAAGAAATAAACAACAATAAAAGTGTTCAATTCGCACCTCAAACCCTGTTCCACAACGCTCCCATGACAAGCAGCAGTAAGAACTCCGAAAAGATGATGCGATCAGGGGAAAGTATGTTCTTTAGTCAGTTTGAACAAATTCAAAACCTTATATTGCATCCACGCTGTGAATGACTTGAGATCATCGTGTACACAATATAACACTTATCTGCTTTGCTCTTCACATGAGACACATGAGGTTAATGCTCTCCATATTAGCCACTGTCATCACAGATGCCCAAGAAAAATATCTTGCTTGGAAGTTGTGTTAAAAAAATTCAATGCAACATCAACAGATCTGAACAACCAAAAAAGCTTCATATGTAATTATATCTTGGATGTCGCCTTGTCCACGTGGGGATGAGCTTGTTTAGGAAAAACAATCTAAGGCAATTGTCATAATCTAGAGAGTAGAGGTACACAATCCTGCCTCGGTGATGGCTCCACACCGTTAAAGAGTATGATTTGCTGGTGTACATCCTTGAGGGACTTCACAATGTCATGAGGATTTCCAGCTTGACAGAAATTGTTTCACCAAGCTATCTTATAATGCTATTATCATTATGCACTACACTATTCTCCACACCAATTTACAAGAATTCATCCAATACAAATGAGATATACAAAAATACCCTGTAATTTTCTTCAGACCACACTAATACTTCTTATATATGACATCAAAGAGCCTTCTCCTTATAAAACAGCACATTTCGATTCAGTATCACATTAATCCATAAGTATCATCGGGGAGCAAATGAAGCAGTGATACCATCAGGAAGACCAATACCCTGAGCCCAGATCTTAGACTCCAAGTAATACTTAGATATCCAACCGGCAACTTGACCCATATCTGGCCTTCTGCCAGGATCCTCTTGCACACACCCTAATGCCACCCGAGCTAACCCCTCTGCCACCTCAACTGGATACGAATCTCTCAACCTCCTATCAATCCACTGCCTCAATTTCCCAGCTCCATCCCCCACCACTTCTCTTGCTGTTTCGATTAATGAAACCTTCCGAAAAATGCCCTTGTCTGAATCAACATGAACCTTCATAGGCTCTTCCCCAGACAATATCTCTAACAGCACCACCCCGAAAGCAAAAACATCCGACTTCAACGTGGGAATCCCTGTTGTCTGAAACTCAGGCGACATATACCCTCTCGTCCCCACAAACTTCCCCACCGCGCTACCCACCCGTTTAAGAACCTGAAAATCCAAAGTCTCATCATCTTCCTCCATGATTGCCTCAGGAACCTCCCCACACAATTGGGCAGTCCCAAAATGGCAAATCTTAGCAACTAAAGCAGGTTCCTCAGATACAACAATTGAGCTACTTTTAATGTGATTATGAACAAACCCACTTTTAAATCCAGCAGAATTATGCATATAATCCAACCCATCAGCAATCCCAGCAATAATTTGAACACGGGAAATCCAATTCGACAAAACAGTAAAATTAGGGTTTCTAGGGTTTCTCAAACAATCATTCAAACTAGCACCAGAAATAAACTCATAAACAAGATAAATACAATTCCCACTAACAGAAGCTCCATTAAGCTTAACCAAGCTAGCATGATGAGACTTACAGAGGAGAGAGAGTTTTCGTCGGAGCTCCGAATTATCAATGGGTCGCCGAAGTTTTCGCTGCGTAACAACTGATTGTTTCTTATTAATTACACACTTCCAAGAGGTTGAAGAAGATGAAGATGAAAAGGGTTTTAGCAGAAAATTCTTGGTAGCAGATCGAATTTCAGAAAGATCATAAATATGAGGATTTTCTGGGAGTGAATCTTTGAGACTAGATAATGAATTTTTGCTTGAAATTGAGGATGATTTTGAGTTGAATTCATTGCTTCTGCTTTTACTTTGGCTTCTGCTTCTGCTTGAAGGAGAATTAATATCAGAAGGGGTAAAATTCTGGGTAGATTTTCTGGGTTTAATGATTTCAGAGTTCTTAGATTTTGATCGGAACATAGAGAAACACATAGATAAAAATCTGGGGATTTTATTTTATGAAGCTTCAGAATTATGAAATTTTAAAATGGGTAGTATGAAAATTTTGGGATTTGGTGAATGGAATTGAATTTTTGACATTAAAATATACATGAAAGTTTGAAGATTGAATAAAAACAGAGGAACAAAGTAGGAGAAGTTGGTCAAACATTCCTGTGACAAAAGAAAGAAGGAAACTTGGAAGAAACTTTCTAATTATAGCATGGGGTTGTGAGATGACTCATGTTTTGTTTGATTAATGTTTGGAGGCCTAATTTTTGAGGGTTTACTAAATAGTGGATGACAGAAGATGATTATTTTGATACAAGTGATACTTAAATCTTACGAAATATTTTTAAAGGATTAAATTAAATGTGTCAAAAATTGTTTAAGTGAAATATGTTGGAGATTTAAAGATTAATAATAATACAATAAGAAAAAAGGTTTAGTACGAGTAGTTTAATAAAATAAAAGGCAATGTGAGATGAACAAAATCATACGAATTACTCCTTCCGTCCAAGATTATCTGAGATGTTGAGTTGTTGGGATGGGCACATAGTTTAAAGAAAACTCTGAGTAAGATCATTTAATACATTTGTTTAATATAAAATGATTTTTTTTTTAATTTTTTAGTGGGTCATGGAAGAATGGAAAAGTAGAGGAAATAATTTTTTAATTAGTATTCTATGCTATATTTAGTAACATGTCAGTTTTTTTTTTTTTAAGACGAACGAAATGGGAACTCTATCAGTAATTCTGAGACTGAGGGAGTAGTTATAAATGAGTAGTTAATTGTAAAAAAAAAGGAAAGTAATGCATTTAAAAAGAGCTACAGTACTCTATATAATATAAAGAGTGGTGTACTTTAAAGTACGTTAGTAGTAGTTAAATTCGTGTGTTGCTCATATTATATGCATAATAATTTATTATTTTTTTTTTTAGAGAAAGCTAGCTTGCATTAATCAAATAGATAGGTTGTCCATGAGTACATAAGGAGTGACATCTCTAGGGCAAGAGTTTTCCCAGATTTGTTCAACTCCAAACGGAACAAGCTTAGCTAAGGAATGAGCAACACTATTGCACTCCTGTTTTACATGAGACCAAATAACAGCATTAAAAGACGTACATAAATGAAATATATCGGTCAAAACTGTGTCAAGATCAACTGAGTAACGAGCCCCTTTGGATAAACGGTCAATGACTAGCTTGTAATCGGATTCAACAATGATATCTCTGTGGCTGGCAGCTAGCTTTAGAGCTCTAAGGATCCCTTTAGCTTCCGCAATTTCCGGGGGGGCAGTGAGCCTTCATCATCCTTCGAGTTGCAGCCCAGATGACATGCCCTTCGTGATCTCTCGCAACAATGCCCAAACCAACCCAACCTTCCTCTGATAAAGATGCATCAGTGTTTATCTTAACGAAATCGTTTGGGGGAGCAAGCCATTTGTTGGGGCTGTGGGTGGGAAGGGGCGAGATAGTTTTGTAGACACGAGCATTATATTTGTCATAATCGTCTACATATCGAAGTACACGCTGGGTAATAATTTCATTTGGTGTTATTTTGTTGTCAAAAACCTTGCGGTTTCTTTCCCCCCATATACACCAAGCCAGGAACATACCCCATTGTATTATCTTCTTATCAAGCAATTTCCAACTTACAACCAAGTCACAAAAGGAAGGAGTTGCACTCCAATCTGCCATCTGATCACATTCGCATAGAGCCTACAGATCTTTGACTCTGGGACAGCCTACAAAGGCGTGTTCCACAGTTTCCAGGCTAGACCCACACCATGGGCACATTGCATTATCAATCATATGCCTATGGAGGAGTAAACTTCGAGTGGGTAGTGTACCTGAGCAGAGACGCCAGAAGAAGTGCTTCACCTTGGGAGTTACCTTAGCTTTCCAAATCTCTACCCAAGCTTGATGGAAAGTGTCAAAATCTCCACCTTTGCCAAGCATATAAGCAGATTTGACCGTGTACATTCCAGTCATTGAAAAAGCCCAACATAACTCATGTTCTTGATCTGTTTCGCTGATAGGAATAGCCAGTATGTTGCGTTTATCTCTGTCATTAAAACAGCTTTCGATGACATCCCCCCGCCATTCTCTTTTGTCTTCGTCAATAATGTCACACACCCTGTGCAGGTTTGCTGAAGCCGTACTTGATAGGAAACGACCCTCTGAGTCAGCAATCCAAGGGTCGCTCCAAAGGTTTATGTTTCGACCATTGCCCACCCTCCAAATCACACCTTCCTTAACAAGGGCCTTTGCCGACCATATGCTTCGCCAAGAGTGACTCCCTGCCAAACCAAGAGAAGAGTCAAGAAAATCAGTGTTAGGATAATACTTTGCCTTGAAGACTCGCTCAAGGAGAGAGTTTGGAGCCCTGATAAGGCGCCAAGCTTGTTTCCCTAGTAGCGCCTCATTAAACACGGCCAAATCCCTGAAACCCATGCCCCCTAAACATTTTAAGGTGCACATGGATTTCCAGTTTCTCCAGTGAATTTTCCTGTTCCCCTCTGATGAGCCCCACCAAAATCTGGCCATGGCGGATTGAATGTGTGTGATCACAGAACTCGGAAGCTTATAGACCCCCATCAAATATGTAGGGATTGCCTGGATTACCGATTTGAGAAGTATCTCTTTTCCTGCTTTGGAGAGTAGTTTTTCCTTCCACCCCTGTAATTTCTTCCAGATTTTGTCAACTAAAGCCCCAAACACAGCCTTCTTTGACCGTCCCACAAGTGTAGGGATTCCCAGATATCTTTCATGTCTGTCAACCTGTCTCATGTTAAGAATACTCATCAACTCTTTCCTTCGGTCAGCTTCAACTCCTGTACTAAAGGACACCTCCGACTTTTTATAGTTAATTTTCTGTCCAGATGCCTGTTCATATTGGTTGAGTACATCAACTACCGCTTGGCATTCCTGTCGAGTTGCCCTGGTAAAAAGTAAGCTGTCATCGGCGAAAATAAGATGGGATATAACTGGCCCCTTTCGGCTTGCTTTTGCTCCATGAATTTTCCTCTCTCTGGTTTTATTCTGTAACATACTAGAGAAAACATCAGCGACCAAAACAAAGAGGTACGATGATAGAGGATCTCCTTGCCGGAGTCCTCTAGAAGGGGTCACCGTACCACAAACCTCTCCATTTATCACAAAAGAGTAGGAAACCGAGGATACGCACTCCATCACCAAGTTTACCCATCGTCCATCAAACCCCATAGTAAGTAGGAATCGTCGTAGAAAACCCCATTCTACCCGATCATAAGCTTTGCTCATATCAAGTTTCAGAGCTATGACACCCTTCCTCCCCTTACTCCTCGTCTTCATAGTATGGAACAATTCGAGAGCAATTAAGGCATTGTCTGTAATTAGCCGGCCAGGGACAAAAGCACTCTGATTTTCCGAAACAATTTCAGGGAGAATATTTTTTAGTCTCATCACAATTGCTTTTGATACAAGCTTATAAAGAACATTACAAAGTGCAATGGGTCTATATTCGGCCGTGGTGGTAGGTTTGTTTACCTTTGGAATTAGCACAATATTGGTATTATTTACACGACTGGGGGAAAGGGTGCCATGTAATATTTTACTCACAAATAACGTTGTTTTGGGGTTTTTTGATGTGTCCTGCGGGAGAGTTACAATTCCAAGAATGTCCTTCGCCGCCTGTACCTGCAAAACCACGAAGACTCCGGTTGGTTGGAGCTCCGCCTCCGACGATCAAGTCAGTTACGTACAGGAGGAAGATAGTGCGTAAAATAGTGAAATTACTTCTCGCGTAATGGGAGAATTCCGCAATTAATATTGCTCGGTTTTGGTGTAAGTGTATTCAATTTTCTTGAATGTATTTATGAATGCCAATTAATGAGGATTCTCCCACTATTTATAGTGGGGAGCCTTGGTTCCCCATTTAGGGTTTCTAGGACACGTGTCAGCAGGGGATTGGAGCCCTGCTGACCAATGGCTGGGTGCCACGTGTCGCTCAGCCATAGGGCCACGTGGCTGGGGTATTTTTACCCCAAACATTTGCCCCTCTCAGGTGCTGACGTGGCAAGGTGCCACGTGGCACCTGAGAAGAGAGCTGACGCATGCTACATTTTTTTTTTCTTTTTGAATTTTGAACGAAACCTCTTCAAATTCTAACTGAAAGAGGAGGGAAAAGAAGAAGGGGAAGGGTCGCGTCCCTTCGCCTTCTGAGGCAACCCCTATAAATAGGGGAAGAAGCACACGAGAGCTCATTTACAAACTTCGTGAATTTTCTTGAATTTTGAGAGCATCCGGCATTTGAGAGCATCCGGTACTTGAAATTCAAGGCAAACGGAGATTTGATAATTTTAGAGCAGCCGGTTTTCAGACCGCCTGTAAGGTAGCAAGCAAGCAAAAGTTTTTCGTGAGGGTACCCCAGAGAACCCAGCCGGTCTTCAAAGCGTCTGTGTCTTCGCAAGCATCCCCAAGAAATTTCTTGAGGTCTCAACACTCTTCTACTCTAGGTACCGTCTCTATTCCTTCTCGCTTTTCTATGTATTTCCGTTTGCGTCTTTTCCTTGCATTTTTGTTTATAAGTCCCATAGGTAGATGGACCCTTTATACCCATACCCGGAACATAGTTGTGAACTCAGCCGGTCAATTAGTACGGCTGAGTCTAGAACTAGATCTGCCGCCTCTGATCTTTGGAATTTCCCCTTTTCAACGCCTGTATCGACCGACTCTGTGTCTGTGCAGGACACAATGGCCAGAATTAGGGGAACAGCTATGGACCCCAATTACAGAAGCGGAGACTCAAATGAGTTATCGCCTGAGAGACAAGGCCCAGACGAGGCGGCTAGAGAACCATCCGGCGGCACCTCCGCCACCCCAAGCGATAGTATTCTAGGCTCCTACAACGAGGAGACCTCTCCGGCTCAGGAGGCTGAGCAGCCAGGAACTGCCAATGAGGGTCCCAACTCCCCATCCGGCTCTGATGACGGTCGCGTAGAAAGCAGTAGCTCCAGCTACTTAACCATGTCTGAAGATAGTGAGGAGGCGGTGAGGCCTTCGTGGCAAAGTAGAAACAACCCTCTCATGATCGCCGTCTCTCTCAAATACCGGGCCCTCATGCGGTCTTCCCTACTAGACTTTATTACCAAGAGTTCGGGACGGTTGTATGGGAAGATGACCAACCCAACGCTAACAGTTGGTTTGGGTGCTATGAAGCGGCTTTCCTAGCCGGTGTCCGCTTCCCCCTTCACAATACGATTAAGGCCATACTTAGGGGATATGGCCTAGGCGTTTGGCAACTCACCCCAAATTCTTGGGTGAACATTCTAGGGTACATCGCCGCCTGCGAGATGCAGGATCTCAACCACGGCTGGTAGGCGTTTGCCCATATGCACTATTTGAGCCGGAGCCTAGGCGGCTGGAGAGCCTAGTACACCTTACGACTCATCCTCAATACATGATGACCCTGGATAAGCCGTCTAAGTGGTCGGACTGGAAGAACCG